GAGTCCTAATATACAGTTATGCGTAGCAGCATTTCTGGACCAATGAGATGTGGCGACACCGCAGAAAAACACTTACCGGAAGAGATGGCTTTATCGTGTCGTGCCCGGTTTAGGAGACTGTTCTGGAAGTGACTGTCATGGATTTAGCATCATATACTCATTATTATAATATTAAAGTATTGCTACAACATATAGTTAGCTTGTCAGCACTTAATTAGATATATAACAAAAAAATTATTCACAAAACGGCAAGTCATTCATATGCACGATATTTTTAAATAAAATAAAATAAAATAATTTAATTTTTAGGAGGAAATAAAACTGCTGACGTAGGCCTGGATATGCAGATTATGGACGCTTGTTTCCGCCAGAAAAATTCAGAATTCTGATTTAATTTCTCGCAATTTCGAGTTTATCTTACAGTCTTCTGACCTTTTTTCTCAGAATTGCACGGGTTTCTTTTTGCGACCAATTTGTAGAAATACCATCAGAATTGGAGATGTTAACTAGCAATAGCGGGAGAATGAAAGTCTTAAAGGGAACCTATTATGCCCCTTTTCACACAGCCCGTTCTCATCCCAAGGCGTCATAACTGACGCTTTTGACCATGCGTCAACATGCCGACGCACATGGCACCCCTTAAGCGTCAATATGAGACGCGCCTCCTAGTGGTCTAACCCTAACCCTACCCCAGACCTAAACCTACCCATAACGGAAGCGTCATCTAACTGACGCTAAAGGGTGCCATGTGCGTCGGATTTAGACGCATGGTCAAAAGCGTCAGTTAGATGACGCCCGAGGATGAGCATCTCATATAGAGGGTATGCGCATGACGTCACCGTCGGCCGGAGTGAATGCGGTCACGCCCACAAGTGGCAAAAAGACTGAGCGGCAGCATTTGTTTTCAGCGTGAACGCCATGAAAATCACACAAAACACATCTAAAACGGGAAAGAGCTTTGCGATTGACTGTACAACTAGATTTGACCAGAAATCTGAGGTACTGTATATTTTTACAGACTGCAAAAAGCTACAGAACAGACTATATTCTGCATAATTGGATGTTTTTAAATAAACACTGACAAAAAACTATACAAGTTTTAGGGCTGGACGATATGATGATATACAGTATAACATTAATGTAAGTGATCACTCGGATTTAGACCTATCTATATTGTATTTATATAAAACGTTTACAGGCAAATTGTCTTCATTTATTTCCCCGGCGTCGAAATCAGGCACATATAAATGTCAGGAAACACGATTCCTGGCTGCATGTCAATATCCATGGATCACTGGATCTTTGATAAGTTGTAAGGAACACTATATCGAGTCCAACTTTTAGTTTAAACTGATAATAGTTTGTTTTACTTGCGTTAACGCAGTTTCCCCTATTAACTCCAGTCACGCAGCAGCTCTTCTGCCACTCAGTCCCGCTGAGGGGGGCGTGTTCCGGCGGGGAAGTGACGTTAATGCATTCCCTCTATAGACACTTAAAGGGTACCATGTGCGTCGGCAAAAGTGTCAGTTAGATGACGCCTTGGGATACAAGATGTATATACGCCGTTTTGTGTGTGTCCCTTTAAATGTAAAAGAGTTGCTGCTCTGTTAATGATTTATGGGGATTATAAAAAAAGGAGAGGGTGTATTTCTACCATTATAGGCTGCTTGTTTACACACTCTGTGGACACACATCTGTGTTCAACCACCTTATAAAAGTGAATTTTGCATTAGGTCCCCTTTAAAAAATACTTTATTTCCCATAATCGTTTTATTCCGTGGCGGAAACGAGCTTCCATGGTTTTTAGTGTAGACAGAAGCATTGATTTAATTATTTTGAAACACGTGTCTGGTACGTAGATGCGGCCTGGATCCCCGAAATATGACGTGAGAGACGGAGGAAGATTTCTCATTCACAGAAAAGAAGTTTCAAATTGATTAGAAAACTTCTAAAGCCGATGTGCTTTGTATATGCGTATGGTTTGTATTGCTTTGAGTCCCAAAGTCTGGTCTATTTATAATATATATTTATAATATATAAAAAGAATACTCATCACCATAAAAACGATTCATATATCATTATGTTACGAAAAACACACATTTCGCCACACGTTCTCCCTCCCCCTTTGGCACTAAAAGCTCTATTAAGATAAATATTACTTGTAAATTTCTCTTTTTGTTTTTCATATAATTGCTAGACACTTGAGTAGCCTCACATTCATCTAAGCACGTTCTGTACACAAGGGAATGGTAAGAAAAGACATCTTTAGACTCGTAAAATCTTCTGTTATTTCGTCCTCGTGTAAAATGACTGCAATTGTTCAGCTTTAACAATAAGACACTGTTAAAACTTTACTAGACTTGTTGCTGTCCGCATGCCCTTGATATTTACACAATCAATAGGAATGATCAATCAAAATGATTAGAATGGCTTCATGGTGAACACATAACTCATATCATTTATGATTCAAAACCTGATGATTGATATAGATAGAGAGATAAAGATAGAGAGATAGATAGATAGACAGATAGATAAAGATAGACAGATAGATAGATAGATAGATAGATAGATAGATAGATAGATAGATAGATAGATAGATAGATAGATAGATACTCAGGAAAAGAAGCTGTTTAAGATTACATAAAAAAAGCCCTTCTGATAGAGAAAAGTATCATTAAAAGTCAACATGAAATGGCATTTGCAGCCCATTATAGGCCTACTTCTGTACTGTGACATAATTTATACATTGTTCAGTTGTTTTTCTTAGGGACTAACGTGTCCTGCACAGATATATTTGTTCAAAAGAACACCAGGAATGTGTTTTAAGAAAGTAAACATTTTCATTCCATGTTGACTTTGGACCAAAACGTTGTTGACTGAATGATTTGATTTGATACAGATCCATGATATGACCCACAGTGAACTGGTTTGTTGGGGGTGATATGATGTCATTTCCCCTCTACCATCTTACAAAAATTGAATTTGTGTCTGTGTAGTTCATGTTCAGAGTTTCACTCACTAGTTTAGCCATTAACAAAAAAGTAAATAAAAAAGTACCATGGTATTCTTGGGAGTACCTTGGCATTACCACCTGATACCATCACTATGACATGGTACCACAACGTTTTGGCAAGGTGTGTTACAGGATCTGGCTCCAGAGTTTGGTCCCACAATTAAATCAACAACAATAACAATAAAAAAAAAAAATGCAGGTAAATATTATGAAAACATGTCCAGGTCACAGTTCACCCCAAAATTAAATACAATTAATATGATTGACTAAATTAATGAATGAATGTATTTTTTAAAATAAATAAACTGAATAAATACAAATAAATACATCTATTTGCTTATTTAATATAAATAAATGCATAATGAAGGATCTAAGGATTCTCAATAACAATCTGTGTGTGTGTCTGTGTGTGTCTTTAAGAGAGCAAACATTTAACACAACGTGTTGTTTTACTTTCTTTGTTTTTTCATGATTAAATTTTATAATCATTAGTCATTTATGTAGTTGTCATTTGATTTATCATGTAATAGTTTAATAATATTATTTGATTTATATAATTTATGTTTTAATATTTATTCATATTCTTATTCTTATTATTATTAAATTATGTCTTTTTATATTTTATATGACTTATGTCCTTGCTGTTGCGATGCTTGCAGGGATTCGGCGTGTCTGATATTTCTGACGTGGAGATCCATTCAATCTAACAATACATAAAATCTATTTATTTAAATTTGTACAAATAAATCTATATTTATTTTTATAAATAAACCTAAATAAATAAATGGTTGCGGCTATTGCTTATTGGGACAATAAATCCCTCCCTACAACTTCCCCAAACCCAAACTGATAAACACTTTATTATTAAACACACGTTAGACACTTTATTTCCACTTTTTGAATATTTTCTACATTTTTATTGAAAATAAATGCCTTTCCGATCTAATATGAGATGGGAAAAGGGAGATTCGAACTCGGGTTCGAACTTTCTTTAATCCGTCTTACCCCTTTACTATTGCTACAATTGACAATCCAGCATCTTCCGTAGTTTTGTCTGCCCCAATCAGACGTCAGTGGGCAGAGTTAGTGTAAATAGCCTCTGCCAACAAGGCGTGTAAATAGACACTCCATTAATAAATATATTTTAGCCAAAAGCAATTAAGCCTGTTAATCATTAAGCCTAAAATCATTGCATTGTGACATTATTTTCAAAAATGACCACCTATGATCCTATAATTTTCTAGAAGCAGAATTTTGGGGTGAAATATAATCTGGACAGGTTTCATTAGATTCACCCAAATATGCTCTGTTCCTGAAAAAGGCAGGTAGAAAAATGGGGGACAAAAATAGAAGAATTAAGAGAAGAGGGAGAGAAAAAGGAGAAGAGAAAATCATGGACAATGATGATGTGTCTGAATATCGGTCTGTTTGCTCTCTCACACCGTCCTGTGGTACATCAAACAAAGCACTTTGTTCAAAGATTGCGTTTGAATCTTGGAAAGCATCGGGGGACGTCACCTCGGACTCTTTAATTATTACAGTGTACCAGCAGTCGTGTACGAGCGAAGCAATATGTAATTAAACAGGCTTTTCCCTTTGCTGCCGTGTCTTTTTCCAGCCCTTAATAATCTCATTGTTTGATGATGAAAGTAGCAAAAAAAGGCTCGTAATGTCCGTGTATGGGAACATCCCCGTGACGCATGTGAATCTCCCTGTGTGTTCGTCCGCCAACATCCTTTTGAGGGGGACACCAACATATCGTAGTCATAGAAACAGCACTAATTAGATGAAAGCCATGTTTGTTTAAGGCCACTACCAAAACAGACCAATGGAACGCCAAACTAGACGAACGACTGAGAAACTACAGCAGGTCTGATGTTGGAGATATTTCTCTGGAGGGGCGGCGGAGCCCGGTTTTGCATTGGTCTGAAGGTGAGAACATGTAAACACACACACTCAAGCCGTGTCCATTATTAACGCCATTTGGCGCTCCATTCTTCATTCTGTTGTCCGCCATGCTGGTCCTCATAATGAAGACGAACTCTGGCTGTAGTGTCGGAGCACCAGGCAATCGTATTTCGGGACAAGCGGAAGTGCGGACATTTCGGCATCCGAAGCGGGAGAACTTGGCGAGGCGCTTCCCGACCCGACGGAGTCCCTGAAGGGGGAGGGCGGAGTCAGCGCTAGCAGTTCCTCAAGCTCAAGCTGATTGGACGGCGACTCCATAACCGAGGACACGCCCACTTTAAGCTCCTTCCCACTGGTCGTTGGTGACGTTTTGAGCCGCGATGAACCGGAAAGATGGCAGGAGGGTGCGGGGCGACCCACGTTTGGCTCCACCGGTGGGAGGGGCTGTATTTCGGCATAGGTCGTCATGGTGGACGGCATGGAAATCTCTCGGGACAGGCGGTAGGCCGGAGGACAGCAGGGTTCCTGTGCGTGAGCGTGAGCAGAAGCGCTGGTGGATAGAACCGCGGTGCTTCCCGGAGGAGAACTGGTGAGCATCATGCTGTTCAGCTCGCTGATGTTAGCGGTGAAACGGTTCACCACGCAGCTAATCTGCTCCATTAGCGAGCCCTGCGACGCACTTCCGCCGCACGAAACGTTACCGCGATGCTGAGGCTGACACATGTACGTGGAGACGCTCATGACCTGGGCGTCGTTGCTTTGCGCTAAAGAAATACTCGCTCTCTGGGTCACGGTGCTGATTGGCGAGGGGGTCTGGGGGCGGTAGCTGATGGGGTAGCGCTCCTCCGCTTCGGTGACCTCGTAGAGCATCTTGTTGTTACTGTTGTCGGTGTTGATGTCGCTGCCTCCGCAGTAGCGTCCCTCAGACGTTTTGGAGAAAGGTTTGATCACGGCCGTCTGATTGCTTTCGCGCTTCTTGATGTGGAAGGAGAGACGCTGCCACAGGTGGCTGCCTTTGGAACTGCACTCATTCTGGGCCCAAGTCACAGACTTCCCATTAGAGCTGAAACAACAATTAAAATAATATTTACTGTTAAAAATGGTTGCAAAAAACTATCTATCTATCTATCTATCTATCTATCTATCTATCTATCTATCTATCTATCTATCTATCTATCTATCTATCTATCTATCTATCTATCTGTCTGTCTGTCTGTCTGTCTGTCTGTCTGTCTGTCTGTCTGTCTGTCTGTCTATCTGTCTGTCTATCTATCTGTCTATCTATCTATCTATCTATCTATCTATCTATCTATCTATCTATCTATCTATCTATCTATCTATCTATCCCTCTTTCTGTCTGTCTGTCTGTCTATCTGTCTGTCTGTCTGTCTGTCTGTCTATCTATCTATCTATCTATCTATCTATCTATCTATCTATCTATCTATCTATCTGTCTGTCTGTCTGTCTGTCTGTCTGTCTGTCTGTCTGTCTGTCTGTCTGTCTGTCTGTCTGTCTGTCTGTCTGTCTATCTATCTATCTATCTATCTGTCTGTCTGTCTGTCTGTCTGTCTGTCTGTCTGTCTGTCTGTCTGTCTGTCTGTATGTCTGTCTGTCTGTCTGTCTATCTATCTATCTATCTATCTATCTATCTATCTATCTATCTATCTATCCCTCTTTCTGTCTGTCTGTCTGTCTATCTATCTATCTATCTATCTATCTATCTGTCTGTCTGTCTGTCTGTCTGTCTGTCTGTCTGTCTGTCTGTCTATCTATCTATCTATCTGTCTGTCTGTCTGTCTGTCTGTCTGTCTGTCTGTCTGTCTGTTTGTCTGTCTGTCTGTCTGTCTGTCTGTCTGTCTGTCTGTCTATCTATCTATCTATCTATCTATCTATCTATCTATCTATCTATCTATCTATCTATCTATCTATGCATGTAGTATATCTGAACACAGAGATTATGTGGTAAACTATCAGGTAGTGTTGTCAAAAGTACAGACTTCGGTATCAACTCAGTACTGAAATGTAAAAAATGTGACAATACCAGCATTTCCCTCTAGCATTTTGAGCGCTGTTGAATGGATTCTTAAACACCTCTTATTGGCCATTGTGTTGACACGCTCAACATATATGTTTCTGATTGGCTATTGTGTTGACGCTTCAAAAACATGTTGTCTTTGACGGTCTTCATCGAGCGCTTACACAGATACACACGGGAGCTTTTGAAAGCGCCGTCTATCAGCGGACCCCTAATATATCGGCTGATAGACGGATCCGCTGATAGACGCCTGCTTTCAAACGCTCCTGTGTGTATCCGTGTAAGCGCTCAGTGAAGCGTGTCAAAGATGTCATTGTTGATCATTGTAGCCAATCAGAGACATATATGTTGAGCGGTTGAACACAATGGCCAATCACAGGTGTTTAAGAATACGTTCAACATGCTAGAGGGAAATGCTGGTATCGTCCCACTTTTTAATTTCAGTACCGACTTGGTACCGAAGTCAATACTTTTTGACAACTCTACTATCAGGCAGTGTGAGCAGACACACATTCAGGTGAAGTAAGCGCTTTGAAAAACGCTGTTGAAAAGGGGCTCAGAACCGAGCACCAAAACACACTTGTAGCCAATCAGCAGTAAGGGGCGTATTCACTTATGATGCTCAGTGCACAGGACAGACATTAGCAGAACGACTATTGAAAGAGAGAGATGAGAAAATACAAAAGAGGAAAAGGCCAGGGGAATATAACTTTAAAAAGAAGGGTTACGATCAATCATAACCCGCGTGAATATCGGAGAAGCTTTCCAGCGCTGGAGAGACCTAAAGGAGTGGGAAGGCCTGAAAATAGACGGCGAGTTTGCTTTATTTCTTCTCGATACGCGAGTAACGTTGGTTTTGCTGTTTCACAGAACTAAGATATGTCTTTTGCTTGAATATACATCTTTTTTTTTAGTTTGTTCATATGCATTATTATTATTATTATAAACCTGGAATGTCTAAACCTCCTCCACCAACCCGTTTCAAGCATCAGCTTCCAAAGTGTGTCTGAAAAGTGAGATAACTAGGGCTGTCAGTTAAACGCATTATTAACGGGGTAACGCAAACCCATTTTAACGGCGTCAATTTTTTTATCGCGCCATTACACGGCCTAGCAAACTTTGTAGTTTTTTTGACATGCTTTTGCAACAGGACGCGGCAAAACGCGAGGACGTTTTGTTGCTTCGTCGACCAAAGCGCAAGCGGATCTAGCTAGACAGAAAAAAAACAACAGGCACGCCGCACACACTTGTTTGGGCTTGCGAGCCGGCCAAATAGGTGGTTAATGTTACGTTTTGAGTGGATGACGAGCGCGAGACGCCGAAATGGATGCCAATGAGATTCTGAATGGAAAGTTTACTTTTAAAAAGTTGCCAAATGGTTCCATTGACAAGACCAAAGTGATCTGTGTGTTTTGTCGTTGTAAACTGAGCTATTATCATCGCAGCACGTCCAGTCTGAAATACCACTTGATGATGGCCAAGCACACACACACACACACACACACACACACAGCTGATGCGAATTCTCCGCCCCCTCGTCAATATCAGGACCTCGTCAGTATTTCTTTCTCTTATTAAAATATTAGTAGTTCTCTTTTATTGATGGTCAGTGTTACATTGTTTGAGAGATTATTTGCTCCAAGTGAGAATGTTAGTGTGAAATTGAACACAGTATATGCCAATGTTGTTTTCAATAAAAAAACATTTGCACAAAGCAAGCCGATCCACTTTTCCATGTTGATAAGAGCATTAAAATGAGAAAAAATAATGGGACAAAAAGAAATCAAGAGACATTTAGAATAGATAAAAATGTGCGATTAATTGCGATTAATCGTGAGTAAACTATGACATTAATGCGATTAATCGCTGGATTGTCGTTTGACAGAACTAACACACTTATAAATGAATGTTTTTTCTTTTTGTTCGCATTTTAGTGATTTTGTCACATTTGTAATGCATTAGTTATTTTGACTGTTGTGTAATGTAGGGAGCTGTTCATGAATTTTTTCTTTTTTTTTGGGATGAAAGGGATGTACAACCTAGAAGCTTTGCGTAGTTTTACTACGTGAAATATCATGGCCCACAGAGAAGGACATGAATAGTTGAATAAAGTCGTTATTTTTGTTTGTTTTTTACGCACAAAAAGTATTCTCGTCGCTTGATAAACTTAAGGTTGAGCCACTGTAGTCACTCGGACTATTGTAACGATGTCTTTCATAACTTTTGGGCCGGCCAATTTCGATCCCTTAGAAGCCTATGGAGGAGTGATCCAGCTCTCAGATTTAATCAAAAATATCTTAATTTGTGTTCCGAAGATGAACGAAAGTCTTACGGGGTTGGAACAACATGAGGGTGAGCAATTACTGACAGAATTTACATTTTTGGGTGAACTAACCCTTTAATGTCAAGCCCTACGTGTACACGGATGTGGGGGCGGAGACATCAAGATAGGGGTTTGTTAGTTTGGGTGATCTCAAATATCAACAGCGTTTACCAGAAATCTCTAACTACACCTTTAATACATTAATTTCTATAATCACAGGTTGTCTAAGGTAATCACTCTCTTTTTATGGATGTCAATAACTTAACAGCCCTATCATTACCACACAAACAAGATGTGCACTGAGTGTCATTACAACAGCAGGGCAACTTCATTTTCACAGAACCAATGCATAAAACCTGAAATTTGAACACTACTCTTTTCTTGCTACCCAGCAAGCAATAGCCGTCATTTCACCATCTAGGTTAACTATAAACCCGATAGAGTCCAGCTATGAGTGGCCACTTCTAGCCAAAATAACCTTGAATTTGGTTACATGTCGTTTTTGCCAAAATAACTTGCGAGATGTATGATATTTCATCATGTAAGCAAAGTAAATAGGGATTACAAGGTGTTTGGTTTCATTTCTTCACTCATTTAATTTCTTTAAGGGTGTAACGATACCCTCATGTCACAATACGATACATATCACGATACTGAACTCACGATACGATATTATTGCGATACTCCAAGACACATGATAAAAGGCTAACAAAAAATGTACTGTTGATTAAAATGCTAAATGTGGTGCTACATTGTGGGTGTAAATGAATAGGATTGGACTTAGTGCAGAAAACACAGGACAATAGTGACACCAGAATATAAATATTCATGATTCTGAAGCTGAAAACACTGAATTATTTTACACGAATATGCACCCTGTCACTGAGTAGATATATTTAAAATAATGTAGGCCACTTTTTACTGGTAACATAAGACATTTAGCATCACCAGGACCCACAAATATCCCCAATTGCATTATTATACATTATATCCAACATTATACAGGTCCTTCTCAAAAAATTAGCATATAGTGATAAAGTTCATTATTTTCCATAATGTAATGATAAAAATTAAACTTTCATATATTTTAGATTCATTGCACACCAACTGAAATATTTCAGGTCTTTTATTGTTTTAATACTGATGATTTTGGCATACAGCTCATGAAAACCCAAAATTCCTGTCTAAAAAAATTAGCATATTTCATCCGACCAATAAAATAAGTGTTTTTAATACAAAAAAAAAAAGTCAACCTTCAAATAATTATGTTCAGTTATGCACTCAATAGTCAATACTTGGTCGGGAATCCTTTTGCAGAAATGACTGCTTCAATGTGGCGTGGCATGGAGGCAATCAGCCTGTGGCACTGCTGAGGTGTTATGGAGGCCCAGGATGCTTCGATAGCGGCCTTAAGCTCATCCAGAGTGTTGGGTCTTGCGTCTCTCAACTTTCTCTTCACAATATCCCACAGATTCTCTATGGGGTTCAGGTCAGGAGAGTTGGCAGGCCAATTGAGCACAGTAATACCATGGTCAGTAAACCATTTACCAGTGGTTTTGGCACTGTGAGCAGGTGCCAGGTCGTGCTGAAAAATGAAATCTTCATCTCCATAAAGCTTTTCAGCAGATGGAAGCATGAAGTGCTCCAAAATCTCCTGATAGCTAGCTGCATTGACCCTGCCCTTGATAAAACACAGTGCACCAACACCAGCAGCTGACATGGCACCCCAGACCATCACTGACTGTGGGTACTTGACACTGGACTTCAGGCATTTTGGCATTTCCTTCTCCCCAGTCTTCCTCCAGACTCTGGCACCTTGATTTCCGAATGACATGCAAAACTGAGCAACAGTCCAGTGCTGCTTCTCTGTAGCCCAGGTCAGGCGCTTCTGCCGCTGTTTCTGGTTCAAAAGTGGCTTGACCTGGGGAATGCGGCACCTGTAGCCCATTTCCTGCACACGCCTGTGCACGGTGGCTCTGGATGTTTCTACTCCAGACTCAGTCCACTGCTTCCCCAAGGTCTGGAATCGGTCCTTCTCCACAATCTTCCTCAGGGTCCGGTCACCTCTTCTCGTTGTGCAGCGTTTTTTGCCACACTTTTTCCTTCCCACAGACTTCCCACTGAGGTGCCTTGATACAGCACTCTGGGAACAGCTTATTTGTTCAGAAATTTCTTTCTGTCTTACCCTCTTGCTTGAGGGTGTCAATGATGGCCTTCTGGACAGCAGTCAGGTCGGCAGTCTTACCCATGATTGCGGTTTTGAGTAATGAAACAGGCTGGGAGTTTTTAAAAGCCTCAGGAATCTTTTGCAGGTGTTTAGAGTTAATTAGTTGATTCAGATGATGAGGTTAATAGCTTGTTTAGAGACCCTTTTCATGATATGCTAATTTTTTGAGACAGGAATTTTGGGTTTTCATGAGCTGTATGCCAAAATCATCAATATTAAAACAATAAAAGACCTGAAATATTTCAGTTGGTGTGCAATGAATCTAAAATATATGAAAGTTTAGTTTGTATCATTACATTATGGAAAATAATGAACTTTATCACAATATGCTAATTTTTTGAGAAGGACCTGTATATAGTAGTTTAATGAAGCACTGACACTTAAACTCTGAAAACTTTTTTTTTTTTTTCCACAGTAATTTTTACTTTGGGTGAACTATACACAATACATATGGTCACTACCCACGATACACATTGTTGCATTTTTGTATTGCGATATATAGTGACACGATATATTGTTACACCCCTACATTTTTTTGTTATCTAATTGATGACTAGTCTATTCTTGGGCTATGGTTAGACGTGTATAAAACTTTCACTGACAGCCCAAATTTTGCCTTGTTTTAGCCTAGACGTCTAGGCTGTGCTTGGACGGCTATTAGACGTCTTTTAAACGCAAAATTGCTTACTGGGTAGTATGAACGTATTTCTTTACGAAATGCAAATCTAGTATTTAATTGCTGCACAATTGAACACACACCTGAGCGTCTCTCCCGACGAGCCTCGTCTCTTCCATAGGTTGACCAGGCTGCTGGACCGGCTGGCCGCGGATGAGGATTTCCCGTCTCCCACGTGCATTCGCACAACCGTCGACGTAGTGAACGCGCTGCGGACGTTCCTCTCCGGCTTAGCGAGGATGATGTAAACCTTTGGGGCAAACATGCAACACAAAGCCACGGTGGCGCTCAGACTGACGGAGAAGCACATGGTGATGGTCTTGTAGTTGGAGCCGAAGTAAATGGGTACGAAGGCCAGCCAGATGATGCAGGTGGTGTACATGGTGAAGGCGATGTACTTCGCTTCGTTAAAATTGGCCGGGACGTTGCGCGTCTTGAAGGCGTAGAAGGTGCAGCTCATGATGAGAAGGCCGTTGTAGCCCAATGGCGCCACCACACCTAAGTTAGTGGTATTGCAGATGAGGTTGACCTCGCGGATCGAGGGATAAGCATGGACGACGTCGGGAGGCTCCATCACGAAAAGCGCCACGATAATGCCCAACTGCAGGAGGATGAGAAGGAAGGCGATCACTAGCTGGGCGCACGCGCTCATGAAACGAGGTTTCTTGGTGCAGATTTTCTTTTTGCTGCCGGCCAGAATCCGAGCGATGCGATTGGTCTTGGTGACGAGGGCCGAGTAGCTCATGGCGGGCGATAGGCCGATGCCCAGCCGCTGCAAGTAGCAGTAGATCACGTGAGGCTTCGCGATGAGACAGAAGGTGCAGAGGTATCCCAGACAGATCCCCGCCAGAATGATGTAACACAGCTCACGACTGGACGACTTCACCACGGGAGTGTCGCGATAGATGATGAAGATGGAGGTGACGAAGAACGTGGCCATCAGACCCAAGCAGGAGAAGACCACGGCTGCGATGGGCTCAGGGTCGCCCCATCTCAGAAACTCCACTGGGATTGGGTCACATCCTGAAACAAGTCAAGAGAAAGACAATTAGTGGCGCTTGCAAGATAATTGGATACGAATAAAAAAAAAATCATTATAATATTGCACTTGAAGGGATAGTTCACCCCAAATATACAAATTATGTTATCATTTACTCACTCTCAAGTTGTTCCTAATCTGTATGAATTTCTATCTTGAAGAATATGGGTAACCAAACTGTTCATTTTCCTTACTTTGAAAGTCAATGGGGTCCATCAACTGATTACTGACACTCTTCAAGATTGAAATATTCTTTCGTGTTCAGCAGAAGAAACTCGTATAGGTTTTTATTAGACCTTGAGGGTGAGTAAATTTCATTTTTAGAGAATTTTCATTTTTAGAGGAACTAATAACATTTTTTGGTTGATGAAATGTTTTAGAAAATATATATTAAAGATTTTATAGTAAATAATAAACATACTATAAAATTCAACATATATATTTATTGTAGAAATATTTACTATAAAAACAAAAATGTTTAAAATATCTCTGATCCTTTAATTTATATAATAATAAAATATACAATATTATACTTGATTCTTGATTTTTTAAAAATATTTGTATACAGACTGCACTTACAATGAGCAATTTCTAGTTGATGAAATATTTTAGAAAGCAAATAATAATTTTAGTAGATAAGTAAATAGAATATTTATATTTATTATATAAATATTTTTAATAAAAAATTAATATTTGTATTTTCTAAAATATTTTATCAACTAGAAATTGCTCATTCAACATAGAGTAACATATATATTTATTGTTATTTCAACATACAGTAACATATATTTATTATATAAATATTTACTATAAAAACAAAAATGTTAAAAAATATCTGATCCTTTAATTTATATACTATAATATACAATATTATACTTGATTCTTGATTTTTTAAAAATCTTTTTATACAGACTGCACTTAAAATGAGCAATTTCTAGTTGATGAAATATTTTAGAAAACAAATAATAATTTTAGTACATAAGTAAATATAATATTTATATTTATTATATAAATATTTACAATAAAAATTTAATATTTGTATTTTCTAAAATATAAGTATAATTTCATAAATTATATTAGATAAAATATAATATGCAAATATTTTTAAGATTTGTTCAAATAAATATGTTATACCTTTAAGAATGGCACTTTTCCATTGCCAGACAACTGTATAGTATATATTGACTTTCTATAATCATTGTGGATTCATGACATGCCAAAACTACTATACATAGCAATGTATTGAAACCACCTTACCCACAATGCCCTAATATCATGGAGGAGGGTGTGGCACTGGCATACATTAATTAAAAAAAAGTGTAAAAATGTACAGTACTTGGTTATATTTGCTATATGATTCATCTCATTCTATCTAATGGTATAAATAGATAGTAAAAAAGTGTGTGGGCTGATCACAGGGAGACAGATTTGATAAGTTCAACTCAGACGATTTTGATGCCGTTAACCTTTTAGCTCAATGACTGTGTGTATTTGTTTTCTCCTGAAATGATTTACTGAAATGCATTTGGCACAAATATCTCTCTTTCTTTTTTCCTCTTTCTATTATAGGCAATGTAAGAGAGATGCAAACATGCATTTGGCAAATAAGTCGTGGTGGTGATTTGGGATCCCAAACGACACTCCATGAAATGTTAGATTTGTGTGGAGTGTCCGTCCGTGTGCGTCCGGGGCTTGAGCACTTTACAGAATTAGATTTGCTAAACTGAATAGAGGCGGATAAACGTGTTATTGAACCCTCAACAGGCAAGAGCACGAGCAGTTCATGAGAATTGGGGTGAGAATTGTCATCAATCGGATCCTTCCAGCGGGTTTATGTGTTTGTCGACTCACCGGTGAGGTCATTGGTGGGCCAAGATCCCAGCTCACAAGCGCGACACGTGTACTCGTCCGACACAAACTCGTTCTCCTTACAGGGGGTGCATGTCCAACAGCAGCTGACCTCTCCTTTACGGATCACCTGCAGACGAGGGAGAAAATCACGTGACCTGCTGTCATAATCTCATCAGGTGGTAAAGCAGCGCTTCTCAGCCGGCGGGTCGTGACCCTGAAAGGTTGCAGTCCGGGGGGAAAAACTTAAAAAAATAGTCAAATTTAGGATAGCAAAACTAATCAATTTTTTCATTTTGCCATTTTATGATCCACCGGATGATAATAGTAAGTCATTTTAAGCTTCGCAGCTGTGATATTTCAGGCCATGGAAAATGGATAAGTTGTGTATAGAATATTTTTTATATATTAAATAAAATATGTATATTTTATATATATATGTATATATATATATATATATTAATAAAAAAAAATATATATATATATATATATATATATATATACATATATTAATAATATATATATATATATATATACATTATGAATATTAATATATATTACATATACATATTTTAATTAATATATTAAATACAGAATTTAATAATAATATAATGATATTTTACTAAATTAAATAAGTATGTAGTAAATATAAATATTATATTTACTTTTATAGTATGTTTATGTACTATACAATATTTGCATATATTTTAAATGTATTGGATGATATTAAATAAAAATATTAAATTAATATTCAGTCATTCCTTCATTATTTTAATCAATATTAATTTAAAACATTTGAAAACTATATATATATATATATATATATATATATATATTTGTTAACGTATTAAATATACATATTTTAATTAATATATTAAATACAGCATTTATAATATTATACTTATAATATTTTAGAAAATTAAATATTTAAGTATAAATATATTTACTTTTATAGTATGTTTATTTAGTATAAAATATTTATTTCTAAAATATTTACATATATTTTAAATGTATTGTATAATATTAATTAAAAGATTACATCAAAATTTATTATTTGATTCATTATTTTAAATGAATATTATTTAAAACATTTGAAAAAAAATTTTTATAGTAAATATTTATATAGTAAATATAATTGCATTTATTTTTATAGTATGTTTTAAAGGAACACTCCACCGTTTTTTTAAATTGGGGTTATAAACTTTATCAATTTATCAACAATTCAAATGTTTCATGCATAGTCATTACTTTCGCCAGTTCTTTGTGGCAAGCTTTATTTCAGGTGTTGCGTGATATCTCTGCGCCCAAGTAGCAGTGCTTCGCCTGTGCTTCCCCCTCATATAGTCCCAAATCAATCTATGCCTAGGAAATCACCTAGTCTTAATCTGCATTGCTATTTGTACTCACGACCTGGCAACATAGGATTCCATTCATTATGCTAAGCTAAGCTAGCGGTGGCGCTAGCTTAGCTTAGTAATAGCTTAGCAAACAATGCATGCACTGAGACAAAAATGCATTTGCCCACCTATCTAAATGTAGGGGAGACAGTGAATAACCCCAATTTCAAAAAACGGTGGAGTGTTCCTTTAACGCATTTTTATTGACATAAAAAACAACAACAAAAGTCGTTCTCAACTTTTTTTTACTTCAGGACTTCAAGTGGTGAAGATACAAAACCAAACATTTTTTATTGTAAAAGTTTTTGCAATAAGTAAACAAAAGCTCCTTTTATATCATTATTATTAAGATTACATTAATGTTGACATTTTTGGGGTTTCCAAATGTAAGGATCTCCTTCTAAAAACAATGAGTAAAACTACAAAAGGTTAATCAATCATGCCACATCCAGACATTAAATACATTTACATTTACATTTAGTCATTTAGCAGACGCTTTTATCCAAAGCGACTTACAACTGAGGACTAAACCAAGCGAGTCATCGTGAAGAGGCAAAAGCAACGCAAGAAGTGCTCAAAATACAAAGTTCAGCCATAGCTCGGAGTAGCATAAGGCAGGCAAGCGAGGATTTAGAGGAAAGGATTTTTTTTTTTTTTTTTTTTTTTTTTTTAAGTTAAGTGCTCCCGGAAGAGATGAGTTTTCAGTTGTCTTTTGAATGTTGTCAGGGATTCTGCATTCCGGATGAGGGTGGGGAGATCATTCCACCAGCATGGAACCGTGAATGAGAATGTTCTGGATAGTGATTTTGTGCCCCGCTGTGATGGTACCACGAGCCGTCGCTCATTGACCGATCGTAGGCTTCTGGTAGGGATGTAGACTTGTAGTAGTGAGTGGAGGTAGGAGGGAGCTGAACCTGTGGTCAATCTGTAAGCAAGCGTCAAAGCCTTGAACTTGATGCGAGCAGCGAGTGGTAGCCAGTGCAGAGAGATGAGCAGAGGAGTGACGTGGCTCACATGCAACTATAAATGTGGTTTGAGCCTTGATGTGTTTTATGCAGGGAATTATTAGAAACAGAAAGCATGAAACCAGCAAAATTCATTTAAGAAAGCACTCAAATTATAAAGACCCAAGTCGTGTGGTTTGGCCTATCCAGTAACGTATAGTATCAACCTCTCAATTTCAATGTTTGATTTTAAATTTGATTTATGTTTTTTTGCTGACTCGCAACTTGATTTTCAATGTAAAACCAGTTGAGTTTTACTTCTCACTCCAGTACATGTCCACATGCATAATGTGATTGCTAAATACATGATTACAGGGAATGAAACATTGCGAGTGTGACTGTTTCCTGACCTTGATTTGACCTTTATCGCAGGGTTCACTGCACACTGATCTGATGATGTCCTCTCTGTTGGGCCAGATCTCGTCGTCATTGATCTGCAGACCGCTGATGTCCCAGCTGCCCACGTTTGTGTAGTCGAAATAATCCTTCCCCATCTTCTTGAAGTTCATGATCACGTAACTATGAGCCGTCAAACACACAAAAGCACGATTGATTTAGTGGAACGGAATGAAGATGAAGGGTGAATTCATCAAAACGACTGATGCATTGATCCACTCATTGACGAACTGTCGGCTTGATGGATTGATTATCTTATTTATCGCTTGATTAATTGTTGGATTGGCTGATTGGTTTGGTCGTGGATGAATGAACGGAAGCTCCTACCTCCCTGGCGAATCTCCATTCTCGTCGAAGTAAATGTGTTCCCCGGTCACTCCGGTGAAGTTGGTCTTCATGAGGAACTCGAGGAGCTTGGCGCCGTCGATGGGCCTCATGGCATCGCACAGTCCCACCACACCGGGACACAAGGATTTCTGCATGTTGTGAAGGCCGTGGGCCATGCTGTAGATGGCGTTGATCACGAAGCCCATCTTGGTGTCCTGAGCGTATTGCTGCCGCAGAGAATCGCGCTCTGGGAGAGGAAGAGATTGGGGTTAATGACAGATAACTCGTCTTTTCCTGCTCGTACCCTGTAGGCCGGTCAAATGATGAACTGTGCTAATTTGCTAATGTTCTGTGAAACTGATTTCATGCAGTGGAGAGACCCATATTTCCATCTCAGAGGGTGTGTTTATCGGGCTCAGAGATGTACAGTTCAAGCGTTTTAGGTCCTGCTAATGCGTTGCATGCTGTCTAAGGCTACGTTCACACTGCGAGCCTTTGTTCTTTTTTGTATAGCTGTTCACATTGTTGTTTTAAAGTCAAGTCAAGTCATCTTCATTTATATATAGCGCTTTTAACAATGAAGATTGTTCCAAAGCGGCTTTACAGTGATAATAGGAAATTACAGTAACAGAGATGGTTTTGGCTTTATGGCATCTCTAGAATAAAGTTATTGTCCAGTTAAAGTTAGTTTTAATTGATTCACTTCCGTCGCAACGATCATTAGTTATTAACTTAGGGGCCGCTAGTATGACACCGTTTTAACAGAAAACTCTTAAAGGGATAGTTCACTTTGAAATAAATTTTTGATATGTTTTAGCTTACCTCAAGGGCATCCAAGATGTAGGTGTCTTTGTTTCCGCAGTAGTTTCAATTTTGATATTTTTAGGTCAAACCGTTCTTGTCTGTCAGTCATATAATGCAGGTCTATGGTCACCACCTCAAAGAGCATGCACAGAGAAGTCCAAATTAAACATGATTTAATGACTCGTAAATGTAAGTACACATTGATGGCCTGAGACACGAAACGAGCGGTTTGTGTGAGAAAACGAACAGTATTTATATCGTTTTTACCTCTTGTAACCACAGCCACGTCCAAGTGATCTGAGGGCGCGGGCGCTTCGGTCTGCGCTTTACAAGAGGTAAAAACGATATAAATACTGTTCGTTTTCTCACACAAACCGCTCGTTTCGTGTCTTAGGCCATCAATGTGTACTTACATTTACGAGTCATTAAATCATGTTTAATTTGGACTTCTCTGTGCATGCTCTTTGAGGTGGTGACCATAGACCTGCATTATATGACTGACAGACAAGAACGGTTTGACCTAAAAATATCAAAATTGAAACTACTGCGGAAACAAAGACACCTACATCTTGGATGCCCTTGAGGTAAGCTAAAACATACCAAAAATTAATCGGTTCGTGAGGTAAGCTAAAACATATCAAAAATTTATTGCAAAGTGAACTATCCCTTTAAGTTCACTCTACGCAAACTTTAAAAACACGAACCTGTGAGAACGCTGATGGCGCGCACATGCGTATTAAAGCAACACCAAGGAACTTTTCCTCTGCGGTCGCCCTACAGGTTGGAAGCGGAATTGTCCATTACCGCTGTCGTAAATAATTTAGCCTACCGCAGCCTACTGTCGCACGCGCACGCTCACTGTTTATCCAGCACCGGCTTTGGAATCAACAATGGCCACAGACAATTTGAGGGAGTGGTGGGGGAAGTGACGTATGCCGTAAAGCAGTTGAGTTTTGTAGTTCTTTTTGTGCTCCGGTTACTACCCGAAACCCGAAGTTACATAGTGCTAGGAAAAGCGATACAGACCACGTCAGGCTATGGCAGACGTGTCATTTAACCTATTGTAAGTCGATGTACCATCACAAGGGTCTTGGAAATATATCATGAAGGTTGAAAAACTACATAGTGTTACTTTAAGAGTTCATTCTATAGGTATGCGCGTTTGAATATATGTGCGCAGGCATGTAGTCCTTCCCTAAAAAAACAACCCTCAACAAACTACTTGTCTGGCTGGCCTTAAAATTTATAATACAGAATTGTATCGCTTCGGCGTAGCCACGCGAACCGGAGTTATCCCGACAACAATTATCTGTACAGAGGTAAAGGGAAGGAGGCCAATATCAGATTCCAGTGTGAACAGATAATGGTCCTGAACTGACACGCATGCGCAAAGGAACAATAAAAAGACGTCACGCAGCATAATATAATACCCCAAATTACCCATAATATAGGTGAGTATACAGTGCTTTAGTCTTGTTTCGGGACTCTTACTACCAATCGAATCACAAAACACACTTCACTTTGTTTACACCGGTATTTCGTGAGATGAGAGGCAAGGCAAGTTTATTTATATAGCACATTTCATACACAATGGTAATTCAACGTCCTTTAAATAAAAAGGATTAAAACAAATAATCATACCAAATGCATAAGAAATAAAAATAGCAATAAAAGGTAAAAAATGTGTTAAAAGTTTAGTATTCAAAATTAAAGTAGACGATATAAGAAGCAGTTGGACTACTCGAAGAAAAAGACTAGGAATAAAACTAAAGGCCTAAAGCTAAAAGTGTACTTCAGTTTTTAAACGTATACTAGAGTAGGCACACAGCGAACATCACATCAGTTTCACCAGCAGGACAGCATGCGCATACTAGAGTCGACCGATAGTGGATTTACCGATGACTATAACCAGGTGGGCTCACGCTGGCCGATAACGATTAATCAACCGATAGTTTTTAAAATAGATACCGAATGAAAACAAACATAACATAAAATAGTGCTGAACTTTGTTACAAAAGTTGAAAAACAGCACTGACCCATGAAAATATACTGTACTTTGTTCCAGCAAATGGTTATCGGTGTCGATTAATCAGCAAAACCGATTAATCAACCGATAGTTTTTAAAATAGATACCGAATGGAAACAAACATAACACAAAATAGTGCTGAACTTTGTTACAAAAGTTGAAAAACAGCACTGACCCATGAAAATATACTGTACTTTGTTCCAGCAATCGATTATCGGTGTCGATTAATCAGCAAAACCGATTAATCGGTCGACCTTTAGCGCATTCAGCATGATTTTTCTACTCTTTACGCTCAGTTTTTACATGCATTTTGTTGCATTAACAATGACCCGTTGTTTCAAAACGAACACACTAAAAAATGCTTGGTTGTTTTGAACCCAACTTTGGGTCAAATATGGACAAACCCAGCCGTTGGGTTAAATTTTGTATTACATTTTTAACCCAACGTTTTGGTTTATCCGTATTTGACCCAAAATTGGGTTAAAACAACCCAGCATTTTTTAGAGTGAAAGAAACTGAAATATGAAAAAAACAGATACTTTTACTACTATCAATATCAAACCTGCTTTGTTCCATAAAACAAAAATGCATGTTCAATGACTGTTAAACTACTTGACAAGAGTACAAAGACATTTTTATCTTGTCACACCGAACAAAGATGAAGCTTTCCAGCCTGTGTGTCGACTGTCTGCTAGCAAATGAAGTATAGTGTACTTTGAAAGGCTAAACGCGCTTGTCGAAACTGAAGCATACTTTGGGCTTTAGTCTGTTTGTGATTATGTATTGCAGTTGAAAGTCTTGTTTTCACGGCAAATTAATTTCATTCAAAACTGTTTGATCCCCTCAGCACGCTCTGATTGAAAAATGAGGCTTTGAACTGACATTAAAAACATAATTTCTCTCCTAACTTTTGCTCCTGTTGGTTTATATCCTAGCAGTTTTGATTCAGGTTTCAGAGGGAAGTTGTGGTTGTTCTTTTCTTCTTTTTTTCTTAAATGGGACCAAGATTTTCAAGTTTCTTTGAACTCAAGCAGGAGCCTGGATAAAGACAGCGAGACTAATGGAAGATGTGATATCTGAAGAGGAAGTCTGGATGAAAGAACATAATCATTCGTTCCTGTCTGTGTTCTTAGACTATTGTTACTCGTAAAGGTTACGGCTTTTCTCTGTCCCATCTAGACGTCATCGTACACACACACACACACACACACACACACACACACACACACACACACACACACACACACACACACACACACACACACACACACACACACACACACACACACACACACACACACACACACACACACACACAATCAATCAAAAACTAACACACACACACACACACACACTCACGTAGTTGTTTTAATATTGTAGTCACTTAATCATAGCATTCACTCAAACAAGTATTCATTACTTCAAGCTCATTGTTTCTGCCTTAAATTAATATTGTTTAAATTAATAAATTTGTAGCTAACTGTGATTTTGTATATGTACATTTCTGAAATACATAACTTAGACAGTTACCTCTGATATCAGATCACTCTAAATTGTAATGTGGACTCTTGCTTTTTCTGTAAAGCTGCTTTGAAATTCTGTGTATTGTGAAAAGCGCTATACAGATAAATGTGAATTGAGTAGAGTTGAGTTGAGTTGAGTTGAGTGGACTTACTGCCGCAGGTTCTGTTGTATTTGTTGTTGTCCTGCGGGTGTCCTTTCAGCCGGCAGTGGAACCGGTGCTGCCAGAACTCGGGGAACCAGGGATTTCGTGGGTTATTGTCGGGACGTAGTTTCAGGTAGTAATCGTCAAACCACTTGACGTCTGCGGACTGCAGTTTAATCGTGATCCCGCCGGCGGCCTCGCGCACGTACCCGTCAGTGACATCATACCGGTCCGCCCACCCGTCACTGAGGAGAGAGAACAACAACATCAGTGTGAGGAATCATGAGGAGGATCACATGCATCTTCTGCTGTCAGTCATCATGAGTGTGTGTGTGTGTGTACATGTGAGTGTATGTGTGTGTGCGTCTGTGAGTGTGTGTGCTTCTATAAGTGTGTACGTATGTGTGAGTGAGAGTGTGTATTTGTGAGTGTGTGTATGTGTGTGTGAGATTGTGATTGAGTGAGTGAGTGTGCATGTGTGTGTGAGTTTGTTAGTGTGTATGTGTGAGTGTGTGTGTGAGTGTGTGTGAAAGAGAGTGTGTGATTGTGTGTGTGTTCGTGTGTTTGTAAGTGAGTGAGCGTGTGTGTGTGTGTGCGCGTCTGTGAGTGTGTGTATGTGTGTGTGTACATGCACGTCTGTGTGTGAGTGAGTGTCTGTGTGTGATTATGTCTGTGTGTGTGTGTATGCATGTGTGTGTGAGTGAGTGTCTGTGTGTGAGTATGTGTGTGTGTGTGTGTGAGTATGTGTGTGTGTGTGTGTGTGTGTGTGTGTGTGTGTGTGTGTGTGCGCGTCTCTTTGTGCGTACAAACAGACAGTGTGTGTGCGTACGCTACGGGTGTGTGTGTGTGCGTCTGTCCTTCTGGGAGTGTGTGTGTGCGCGTGTGTGTTTTGGCAGCGTCATGTTGAAACATTCAGTTCAGCTATGTGAAGCCTTCCTGAAACGTACACTGACTGATACATTTGAGCAAATTAAATAGTTTCGATACAAAGTAGATACAAATTGCCAATTAAATGAACACCCGCACACAAATGACTCATTATTTTTCTCTGTCTGCGCTGCCAGTTTCCCCAGTAACCATGACAACTAGAGGCATATTTTTAAAAGACTGATAATTGTTGATGTGGAAATCTCACATGCATCTGTAAGTGTAAATGTGTGTGAGACACAGAAGCAAACAGTCAGATCATATGGCACTGATCATTGACCCGGGACATCCATGCACTAAAAACACACATTAAGATTGATATGAGTTTATATATAATGTCAAAGGGTTATAAATATACACATTGATTCACACATTTAAAAAATAAAAGTTTGTGCATGTATGATTTTCTAGCCAAATCCGAATGAGCATCACAACTGATATGTGACTTAGTGATCTTTATAGGCAGCATCTTAAACACTAAACGAATGCGTAAATGCTGTCTGGGTAGGTTTAGTAACTGAGCTTGTGTGTGATTGTGTGGATGTGTGTGTTTGTTAACGCGATTACACCCCTGCCGACGGGTCAGCTGCAGAAATCAACCCTGGGTTAAACTTAATACAAAACACAGACAAAAAAAATCACACACACCCTTCAGCCGGGACAGATAAGGACAGTCACCGTATAATGAAACTAGTGCAAATGAGCTCACACACACACACACACACACACACAGTGCAGATGGCATCATTGTGAGCAAACTCATTTGACACCCTGTGTGGTTGCATGGAGGGACTGATGACCTCACAGCTGGCTGCGACACGATTGGCCGAGACTGTAGCCATGGCGACAGCATTGGAGTAGGTGCTTATGGGGGATTCCGAGGACCTCTACTGAAAATGATACATTGTTTGTGTTGTAGGCTCTTATGCTCTCTGTTTTATTACAGTACCATCTTTATCTCAGGTGTTTCTCTTTAAGAGGCCATATTACGCACTTAATTTTGGGCTCTACTAGAATATGTTTTCATGCTTGAATGTTCATAAAACACATTATTTTTCCCATATTCTCCATAGTTGCAGCTCCTCTCTCCCCAGTCTGTCAGTAACGCTCTGTTTAGTTCCTGTCTCTGTGAAGCCCCTCCTTCTGAAAAAGCACACTGTGCTCTGATTGGTCGGCTGGATCAGTGTGTTGTGATTGGTCAAGCGCTTAGAGTGTGTTTGGGAAATGTCCCTCCCCTTACCTCGAGTTTCAACACACTACTAACTAACTCAACCAGGCTCCGCCCCTTTATCCTGCATATTAATTATTTAAATGAGGAATATTGTGACGTGTTCGTTCCCGGAAGAAACTCAAGACTACAATGGAGGTTTCAGGAAGTTCAGAAACACTGACCCTGATATAAAGAATAAGACACAAAGAAGGCATGATAATTCATGCCAACAGAGCTGGGAGCGTCAGACCAACTGCAACAATGAGCAATTTAAGACAGATTAAGATGATTTCAGGCAAAATGGCTGAAAAATTATAAAATACAATCACTAGTAATATGATTTAGTGGTTTGTCACTTTTGATCAATAGGTGGCGCTGTGAACACACTGATGTGTTGTGGTCAGAGTGAGGTGACAATGACACATGCAAAGTTTGGTGTCAATATGACAAAGTATTGCAGAGATTCAGCCTCAGAGTCGTTTTGGCTTCATTTCATCGAATTTGAATCGAATACAAAAAACAGATTTGTCTATCAACACGAAATTCATAACTTTTTGCTGGCATAGTCTGAAGATGATCTGACTCGAATTTGGTGAAAATCTGACAAATGGTCTAGGAGGAGGTTGAAAAAGTAGTTTTTGAAAGAAAATCAACATGGCGGACAGGAAGTTTGGCCGAATATGACAAAATTGGTATCTATGTTCTTGGCATGAACCATGGACTGTTTCATTTAAATAGGCTAATTTAATCAAAAGCTATTAGCATTTTTGGAAATTTTATTATAATTTTTTGTCTCTAAGCTTTTTGAGAACCTTCAGGCCACGGTGCTGAAGACAAATACCAGGTTTCGCAACGATACGCCAATCCGTTTGTAAAATATAGCATTTTACGACAAAATTCAAAATGGCTAATACACAAAATGGCTGACATGGGCTAATTGGGTATCGTTCGACTCGGCGTGTCGCACCAGAAGTTTGTTTCTAGGAAGAAGAAGAAGAACACTAATTATTGCAATAGACTCTGTAAAACTAAACTAAATAAAACAAATAAAACCTAAATTAAAGCTGTAAAAATTAAATGTTACTCTCTCTTCCCATAAATTTTGCGTCTGAAAGGGAAACTCCTAGCCTGGGAAAACCCAGACAACGTCCGACAAATTTAGATTTTCTTTGAAAGTTAGTCTGGCAAAGAGCTCATTCAAGCCCATTTCCAATCCGTCGAAATCGCGGCACCAATCAGAAACGTTGGGGCGGGCTTTACACGATGACGACAGCGCTGGGATTTTGAAGCAGATTTTGTAGCCTACATTACAAAGATGGATGCCGCCGTCGAACATCACTCGTTCCAATCAGCTATCGCGTCTGTTTTAAGCGATCTGAACGTTTCCTTTTAGTTAAAAACCGAGCAAAGAACAACACTCGGAGATGTTTCTCCGCCGCTCTGCATACGTCATCTCCTTCATCGCTCTGATTGGTTTAGGTATATCCACGACGTCCGTTGGTGACGCCCCTCTGGAAATGATTTGTCTATGACGCTTTGCCAGACCATAACTCAGTTACAACTGAGAATTGTCTGGTTTTAACAGGCTAGGAAACTCCTACAAATGCATATGCAATAAATTTAGCCGCAAAAATAACCCTGTCCTCGCATTTCCAGCGCTAATTTTTCACAGCGTGTCTTTAGTAAATCCTAACAGTTGTTAGGAACCCAAAAGAGGGTTGTGCTGGAGCAAGCTGTTAGAAAATCTGGCCCTAAATGTGAAGAGAGCGAGAGAGAGAGAGAGAGCGAGAGAGAGAGAGAGAGAGAGAGAGAGAGAGAGAGAGAGAGAGAGAGAGAGAGAGAGAGAGAGAGAGAGAGAGAGAGAGAGAGAGAGAGAGAGAGATAGAGAGAGAGAGAGAGAGAGAGAGAGAGAGAGAGAGGCGCTGTCCCATCCCAAGGTGAAGGATTAAACTAGAGGTGACCGACAACAACAGTTCGTCATGCAAACACACTCTGTCCTGGAACAAGTGCTGCGTGGCCGAGATAACTTGAACCGTGTCGACACACAGACACTGGCAGAATGTGCCATTTGTGCTTCCCACAATGCACTCTGACAAAACAGCATCCTGAAGAATTGTTATTTGCAGCGGATTTTTACTGGCTCCTGAGAAATATGAAACTAATGAATCACGCACAATAACACCAGAAGAGTGTCGGCTCTGATTCCACTGGTTCTCTCAGAGGACGGATCTTTAATCACATCTCCGTCAGGTTTTCCCAAAGAGAGGAAGCTTTGATCTCCTCCTTTACAATCTGTCCATTCAGGTCTGAATCTGAACTTCCTAGCAGCTGTAAACAGTCTCTCTCTCCTTCTCTTTCTCTCTCTTCTCCTTCTCCCTCTCTCTCTCTCTCTCTGTCTGTTGCATCTTCCCGCAGACATCGCTGTCTCAGCGTCGTGGAGACGAGACGACAGATTGCCATGGCGATAGAACTATCGTTGTTTGATAAATCTGACAGCAACTTTTGGAAGAGATGTGTTTAGTTGTATTGAGTAATACAGAGAGAGAAGTGTGTGTCTGTAAGAAGAAAACAAACATTCACTGTTTCTCTACTTCATCGGGGAATGCCTCATCCAGGTCACACCTGCGGTTTCTGTCTCTGAGAGAGAGATTGTGTGTGTGTGTTTTCATAATGTCAGTCTTTATTAATATGCTGGGCGGGTTTGAGCAGGTGTTTAGAAATGAGACGCGCCTCATCAATCAAACTCCCATCACTGCAAAAACATTAATATAACACTCATGTAACACTGATATAACGCTGATTCGTGTCATATGAGCCTGGTACACAAAGACAAACACACTCACTCACACACACACCCACACCCACACACACCATCGGCTTTTTCAATTTAACTACAAGTCAGTCACTGTTACATAATATAAGTGTGTCTTATGATTTTGAGTTTTTGTCATGTGTGAGAGAATCTGTGTGTGTATGTGTGTGTGTGTGTGTGTTTGTGTGTTTGTATGTGTGAGTGAGTGAGTGTGATTGTGTGTGTGATTTTGTGTGTGTGTGAGTGAGTGTGTGTGTATGTGAGTGAGTGAGTATGAGTGTTGATTGTGTGTGTGT